CATGCATTTGAAGATGAGAGGATACAAGGAAAAGTTTATCAATTAAAAAAGGCTTTATATGAATTGAAGCAGTATCCAGGAGTATGATTTGAATGGTTTAGAACAGTTATGACCTCTTTTGGATATCAACAAAGAAATTTGGATCATACCTTATTTATTAAACATCGTGAGGGTAAAAGTCACTCTTCTCATTATTTATGTGGATGATATTGTGGTGACTAGAGATGATACAAAAGAAATGACTCGGTTAAAAGAACTTCTTGCTCAAGAGTTTGAAATAAAAGATTTAGAAACATTGCAATACTTCTTGGGGATTGAAGTTGCCTGATCCAATAAATAGATCTTCATTTCTTAAAGGAAGTATATCTTAGACTTACTAAAAGAGACTGGTATGATGGGTTGCAAGCCGGCAAAATCACCTATTGAGAGCAACCACAAATTGCAAGTAGGTAGTGGTACATTAGTTGACTTGGGAAGATACCAGAGACTAGTTGAAAAGACTTTTTTTATCTCTCACATACCAGACCTGATATAGCATATACAGTTAGTCTTATGAGCCAGTACATGCATGATCCTCGTGAGACTCATTTACATGTTGTCTTCCACATATTACTATACTTGAAGTTTGCACCAGAAAAATGTATGCTCTTTTCTAAGCATGATTACTTTAAAATAGAGTCATTTACAGATACCGATTGGGCTGGTTCCCTAGATGATAGAAGATAAACTACATGTTACTATACAATTGTAGGAGGTAACTTAGTCACATGAAAAAGTAAGAAACAAAGTGTGGTTGTTCACTTCAGTACCGAGGCAGAATATAGAGCAATAGCCCAAAGAGTATGTGAAGTACTATGGTTGCAACGATAATGAGGGAATTAAAACTGCTTAAAAATAAGAAACTATCCCTGTGACAATAAAGTAGCAATTAACATTATTCATAATTCAGTTCAATATGACAGGACAAAATACATTGAGATTGATCGACACTTCATAAAGGAGAAAGTGGTTGGTGGCTCTCTATGCTTATATCATATATCTTCTGGCGACCAAGTAGCTGACATTTTCACTAAAAGACTATGTAATAAATCTCTTCAGAACCTGATTTGCAAGTTGGGCATGTGTGATATCTCTGCGCCAACTTGAGGCAAAATGTTGATAATAATTTTATGTTAAGTAGAATACTATATTATTTAGAGTTTTAATAGTATAATTATATCTTATAATTAGAGTTCAAATAAAATAAGAATAACTAGTCTATATATATCTTCTAAATGTAAACAAAATAAAGAATAAAAAATTAGAAGTTTATTTTCTCTAAAAATCTTCACTACCTTAGACATTTATTGTAAAGTAAATCTGAATATATTATTGTGATGTAATTTCGAAAAATTGTTGTGAACCTCATGAATTGTGACTCCGTATAAAGGATATATTATTGATTTATAGAGATTAGTATAATGTTATGCAAAATTTATCAAGTTTATGTGTGAGATAATGCTCATTTCTCTCTAGAGAAAGCGGGTCATTATACCACTCGTCATCTATAATATGCTTGTCTATCATTTAATCAGGATTCTGTAACAAAGAACCACAGAAACCGAGAGTTATCGGTATTTATCAAATCGGTTCCTACCTAACCAAATGCTATTGGTTACGAAAAAATCATTTCCTACTATTTCAACTTCAAAAGGTCGGCTAGTAAATTTCCATCCTTGTCACAAGAAATCATTCTTCCTGATATTTTTAATAGAAAAATAATTATTATTGGGAGATAGAAGTGAACATGCAGTGGATGAGGTATCCAGAAAATTCATGTTCTTCTTATCATTCGGATATCAATATTCTGCATTACTCTGAACATTTGCATTCTATCCTTTAGAGGAAGAGAAACACATTTCCATTTATTTCTTCATTGTAAGATAGCTTGGAAGATTTTAGCAAAAAATGTTTAGTCTTTTTGGCATTAAATGGGTTAGATCCCCACCAGTTGAGAGCTTTTTGGATGTCTACATCAAAAGGGAATGGGGTGAGAAAGGAAGTCACTGGGGAGAGTCTAGGATGAGGAAGAAGTGGAGAAAAAATTATCCCTCAAATACCCACAAGCTTGCTTGGTTTTGAAAGAATTTCTCCCCAAATCAATGAGCAATAAGACATAAGGTGATTCATATGATGCATATTAATTAAGTTATAATTTACGTATATTGTACTGTATTATAATCATGGTATAAATATAATTGCAAAATAAAATATCTAAAAATATATTGATTAAATGATACTTTTAAAATTATTATGAGAGACGATAAATATATATGAAATAATTATTTAATTTGGATTCTTATAGTATCGGAAGCTGTTTAGAATATTTTTTTTTACTTTTAATGGGCTATAGATTTCTTGTCCCTTTTAAATTAATCAACTCGCATATTTGGGGTAATACTTCTCAGTTAATTTCAAAGTTTTTATCATATTGTCTTATTTATTCATAATTATACATATTTCACATAGTTATACTATTGAAAAAGGTAAGTATTGTTGGGTCTACTTTCTTTATTTTCAATTTTAATTTCTTATCAATTTTCTAATTTTATAAATATGTTTAAATAAGATTACAGATGTGAATGTGTATTTCCTTAAAGTCAGTATTGTCCATATCCAAAAAAAAAAAAAAAAAAAAGCATTCTATACATGTTTCACCATTTATGTGTAAAATGGGTTTGCACAAATGGAAAACTCAACAATATTGGCCTTCTTCTCTTAAGACCATTTTAGTGTTTCTTCAAAGTATTGGTTTTATGTCTTTTTATGTAAGTCTGTGCTTGTCCAGAGGTATATACACATAAGGAAATTTTAAATTTTTTATATAATTTAACTTAACCCTTAATAGAATATATTCTTATACAATCAAATAAAATTTGATCGCATCATATCTAGGATAATTTAATCTTTGATTAAACATGTCTAATATCTAACTAA